GCGAGTGTAGCACAGCCCTTAAGAAGAATTTTTCTGGACTGTAAGCAATTTGGGAGAAAAAGGCATGTTGGGAATGCCTCCATGCGAGCCCTGCAGCTCAGCCCCGCAGTGTCTGTCTGTCCATCCATCCCTGCTTCCTCTCCAGGGAAGAGGCAGAGCCTCACTCAGCCTGGATCCCTGTTAGCTCACCACCACCCCACTGGTCAACGCGCAGACCCCCCGTGGGCTCACAGGGGCAGAGGGTCTCTCTTCCAGAGGGCACGTCCCTTTGGATGTGGGGATCTGGGACAGCGAGGGGTGCAGCGCACCCGCATCAGGCGAGCAGACAGACACGCGTGGGCAGAGCCGGGAGGTTGGGGTGGTCGTGTCTCATCTCAGCAAACCAAGTGCCCCAAGTGACTTTCTCTTCCCTCCCCAGCCTGCCTGGCCACCTTGTGCCTCGAGGGATCGGGACCGCTGGCCTCGCTGGCCGTCTGCGACAGCTCCACGCTGCTCTGTGCCAGTTTTAACTCGGGAATTCACGTACTCCGGATAAACGACGGCGCAAACCCGGCGCTGGAAGAGGTGGCAGCGTTTTGACCACAGTAACCTTTCCAGCAGAGGTTGCCCTGCAAGGGGATGTGACTCCCAAGAGCTTCCCCCTGACTGCAAGCACCAGGAGACTCTGCACCTGTAGAGCAGTGACGTGTGATCATTGGGGCAGGGGGATTTACTGGTTCCAGTTTGTGGGTGGTGGGAAGGCACTAGAGCTGTCTAGAAGAAACACCAAATCCTGGAAGCATTCAGGCCAAGTTCTCTCTGCTGAAAGAGCCCTGTGTGTTTTACAAAACCTCCACACAGGCCAGCTGCGTGTGACGGGGCTAAGGGAGGAGGAGATGAGCTGCGAGATGCCAAGGGGCAGCACTGAGGAGTGCCAGGGCACGGGGCAGGGAACGCCCGGGCTCCTTCCTCTTGCTCCAGTTGAGCAGAGCTCATGGTGTGACAGAAACCCAGCGCTGGGATTTCTACCCCAGGAACAATGCGAGTGTAAACACAGAACATCCATTAGTGTCCAAGATTCCATCCTAAGCCAGCTAGAAACGTGGGAGCCTGCTGGGTGACTCTGGGCCAGGGTTGTCCCATGAATGGCAACCTGAGGAGAAACACCCAGTGGGGCTTGTCTGTTATGGCTGGGGACATCCCTGGCTGCCGGGCTCGGGCAGTCCCTTCTGCAGACATTTTGTGAGACACTTAAGAACCACCTTGAGGGCACGGAGCTGGGATCAAGGCTTACACAGAGGAGATTAGAGATTCGCAATTAAATCTGCAATTAAAGATTTTCCTGTGCTACTTCCTGGCCTCTCGTCCCATAATATTCCCATGGGAGTGAGTAGGAGCTGCAGTACAGCACGTGGCAGATGCCACCACACTGCTGGAAAGGTGGAAGCCCCCAACACTCTGCTAGAAGAAAAGTAACTTGTCAGTGGGTTTGTTGGTTGGTTTTTTCCCTTAAAAACACGATCCCCAGCTGCACTGCACATGTCGGGAGCAGAACTGTGCTCGCTCCCAAAGAACATGGAGCTGTTCTCCAGGGGACAAAGGGGAGATGAATCCATCTTCTTTTCTTCTCTGGAAGGTTTTTTACGGTAGCAGAGAGAAATCAAACTGTTTGTTGTGAATTAATTTCTCTGTCCCCTAGTGAGACCCAGAAGCCAGGCTGCACATCCAAAACATGCTTTGATTTTCCAGAACACGACATTTTCAAAACTTCAATTTAAGGAATGAACAAGAAAGCTCCCCACGGCCTAAGTCGGAACAAGACAATCCTACGGTGAAATGGCCGCCCTTGTGTCAGCTCAGGTGAGACACAGCAAAACTCAAACAGGAGGTACCTACAGGGATTTGAAACACCCAGTCCCTGAGACAGCTCAAGGATGTAGGACATGGAAAAGTTTCCCTGGCCTTTACCATCTGCTGTGAGTGAATATACAGGGGGTAGAGAGCTCCGTGTTCACAGACTACCTTTGCAGAGGCAGGACAACCAGGGGACCATGTTCCTCTGACTCTGAAAGCCAGTTTTTCCTTCTTTAAATGCAAATCAAGTTTGAAGCCACAGACTCCTACCGAAGGCTCCTGGAAAACGGAAGATAAGATGGGTGTTAACAGAGGCTGGACAACACACCATGCCCCAGGTGGTGTGTGGCCACCTACAAATGTCTAAAACAGACTGGAGAAAACCCGTGAGCCTGACTTGGGAGGGTGGAAGCAGTTGGATCATCTCCAAATTACAGCAGAAAGCAGGATCTGCAGTATAAAAACAAAGTCGTAAAACATGGAAAAACATCACCCGAGATGCAACTCCAACCTGGCCAACACAGGTGCTCCAAAACCACCTCGATCCAAGACCAGCAGTGACCACAGCTGTCGCAATGCACACTGCAACAGCCAACTCCTTTTTTTTCTTTAATATAAAAAAAAGCAAGTCTTAGCTCAAAGCCATCAACGTCTCCCTCCCAGTCCAGCAGCAGCATCTCTGCGCTACTCTGCTGTCCACAACTTGAAGGTCCTGTCGTAGGAGCAGGTGGCTATCAGCTGGCCGTCGAGGGAGATGTCCAGTCCCATCACCTTCCCCTCGTGCCCAGCCAGCGTTTTCAACGGGGACCAGCCGGGGTGAGTCCAGATCTTTGCAGTGTTGTCGTAAGCGCCCGTGAGCAGGAAGTTACCATGATTGGCTGCAGGAGAGGAGGGGAAAAAGGAAAAGTGAGATTTGCGAAGAAAACCATGACAAATCTTCCACTGCTAACCAGCGCAGGCCTTCTTGACTTGAAGACGTGTTTTTGAGTTGCCCCGTGCCCTGCCACCTCAGCTCAGGAGAGGCAGGGATAAGGAACGTCAGACAGGAGGTACCTACGTTCAAATTTCACTCCGGTCACCAGGTTCTGATGGGCAGGAATGGTGTAGATGCACTTCCTCTGGCGGAGGTCCCACACCTTGCAAGTATTGTCACCGCTGCCAGTTGCCACGTGGTACCTGCCAAAGGGCGGAGGAGGAACACGTCGTTGGGAGCTGGGGCTTGTGCTCGGAGCTCCCACATAAACCATTCAAGCTCCTTTCTTACCCATTTGGGGAGAAGTTAATCCCGTAGATCTCCTTCAGGTGGCCTTCTAGAAACATGATACAGCGTCCCGTGCGCAAGTCCCACACCCGGCCAAAAGCATCCAGCCCACTAGGAAGGGAGAAGACCAGCATTACCCACCAGAGCCTTCAGCAGCAGCCAGAGCACGCTCAGCCTCACCAGCAGAAATGGCGGGGCACTTGGCCTCAGCCAGCAACAAAACCTTGAGAACACTTCACGGCCAGTCCTGATGCAAAGCAAACTCACCCGGTCCCAGCGAGAGACCCGTCCGTGTGAAAGGCGATGTCATAGACCCCTTTGCTGTGCCCCTCCTGATGGAGAATCTCCTCCTGAGCTTCCAAGTCCCACAGGCGCCACGAGTGATCGTAGCTGTGAAAACAAAGCATTTGTCCAACTAACTGTATCTCCAGGGAGAATAACAGGATGTTTCACTAACTCTGGGGGCACTTTGTTTCCAGCTGGACACCAGCAGGGTCTCACACGAGGGGCAGAGAAAGGAATCCCAGTGACTTGCTGGTATTTACACTGCGACAGCCCAGCTGTTGTCAAGAACGGCCAATCCTTGTCCGTCCTGGGCTCCTCTGTGGACACCAGCTAGAAAGCTAATGGTCATGTTTTAAAGCAAATAACCACATCTCCGTACCAGGTAGTGCCCAGGAACCTCCCAGAAGGGTGCCACATCACGCGTGCCACTCTCATGCTGTGTCCTTCAATGTCTGCCACTGGTTCATCACTGAAAAACAGAAACAAAAAGCATTGGGCACTGGTCAGAGGTGGCTGGCTCTAGCCAGGCCCTTGCAAACATCATGAACCCAGAAAAAGGGGTGATCTTCTAGCAGTCTCCCAGTACTTAGAGGGGGCCTACAGGAAAGCTGAAGAGGGACTTTGGACAAGGGCGTGTAGTGACAGGACACGGGGCAATGGATTTAAACTGAAAGAGGGGAGATTTCGATCAGATCTAAGGAAGAAATTCTTCCCTCTGAGGGTGCTGAGGCACTGGGACAGGTTGCCCAGAGAAGCTGTGGCTGCCCCATCCCTGGAAGTGTTCAAGGCCAGGTTGGATGAGGCTTTGAGCAACCTGGTGTAGTGGAAGGTGTCCCTGCCCATGGCAGGGGGGTTGGAATTAGATGATCTTTGAGGTCCCTTCCAACCCGAACCATTCTGTGCCTCGATGATTCTATGAAAAGATCTGCTAATTAAAGGCAAGCCAGACACGAACATCAGAGTTCTAACTAATGACTCTGAATTCTGCCTCTTGTTCACACAGCTACAGCTCAAAGTGAAGCCCCTTTATTCACACTCATGTTGGTTATGACGTTCTCCTGGGATAATTATTATTATTCCTTAAAATTAACAAGGCTCTTGTCATTAGCATTTCGGAATCGCGGAAGCAGAACGCAGACTACCTGAACTGCAGAGAGTTTTACTGTGACGACACAGAACACATCCTGACTACAGCAAAGCCTCCTATTCTGAAGAACTGCAGGGAGGCAGGAGAGAAGGAATATTTCTCCTCCCAGAATTACACCAGCAGGTCAGCAGCCTTCAGCAGAAGACCTGAAGAGCATTCAGTTTCTTTCCACCAGGCTAACTAGAGACGTGGCCACATGAGACCACTAAACAACCTGTCCCTTTGCACAGTGATGCTTCCCCAGTTAGGAACGGTGACTTTCAGCTCAGGATCAACCACGGAGGATCTCGGAGCTGCCTGCCTCTTCCCGAGGTGCACTGCAGGGCTCCCCTTTTCAAACACAGCCGGTGCTACAGCTCAGAATCTACACCGTTCTCTTCTTCACAGGCTTGAGGCAGATGCTGCACATCTTGCAAAACTACACTGTGTGGCGAGAGTCACTTGTTTTCATTACAGGCTGAAGCTTTTGTGCACGGTCATGTGTTAGATTAGTCCCTCTCCAAGCGGTGGTGTTTTCCAATAACTCAAAAGTTCATTTCTTAATATCCAAGAGGGGAAATTTTCTCCTAAACGAAAGGTTAGAATGAATCAATCTCCAAATCTTCCAGCCATCACCCAAAGCAGTTACCGATGCCCAGAAGCAATTCTGACTTGATTCTTCTCAGATCATTTCCCCTCACCTCGATTCCCCTAATCATGGTGATCCCTTTTCCTGCTGAATACTGAGGCCAGGAATTGCACTGGTATAACTACAAGAAAAGGTTATTGTATTTGCAGGAGGCTGGTAAACGTCCCATGTTCAGTAACACAAAACAAACCCCAAAACAACAAGGCTGCAGCTGGGCTTGTCTGGTATCATTCTGACCTTTCAAGGCTCCAGAGTTTGACAGAACCATCAGCTGCACACGAGGCGAGGTTAACGTCCTTCTTGTCTAGGGAGATGGTGGCTTTGGGGTGGAAGACTATTGCTCCTACGTTGGTGTTATGTCCTTTAGAGAAATAAAATAAAAATTCATAATCTGCCACATGATCTCGGCCAATTCCTTAGAAAAG